AAAAAAAAAAAAAATTAATAAAAATGAGAATAACAATACTAGTCGAATAGCGCTGAGGAGACAAAAAATTGACTTTTAAAAGAAACTAATCTAGCTTATTCTACAGACCTGCGCAAAACTAGTGCAATTGATTTTCGCCGAAATTTGTTCCTCGTATACTTCCGAAATGTTACCAATAGTTTGTAGAGGTTTCGCCTCAGATGGTCATATCAACTTGCTGAAATGCGGCAAAACAAGCCTTTTAAACGAAGGTGCTTTAAGAAAGTTCTCTTCATGTTACTTGAATTTATACAATAAAGGTCGCGTAAATATGAAGGTACTGCCTTTGGAGAATAGAAAGTAAACTGATATACTTGACAAATAATCAACAGTCAGTCTAAAACAGTTTCCGGGAATTAAAAACTAACCAAAAAAAAATTCCTAGTTCAACAAACGGAAGAATGGTAACTAACACCTTACTTTGGTCTTTGGTGAGCGGATTTAAATTCCCCAGAGGACGAGAAACTGTGATTTGGGCACCAGCAATGTCCACAAATAACATTCTAAGAAGAAGTATATACACCATCCATTTCAAGGTGAACAGACAGGCCTCTGCACGCAACTAGAGAATGCAGATTAATACTTTTCAACTTCAAAAACAGATCAAAACAAACCAAAGCCTTGCGACAATATTTCAGAACACAAAGCAATCGCTATTGTTTGGCAGGAGGGAAAAATGCATGTTAATCTTTTTCTATCTCTTTGGAAATCCCAGGAGTTGCAGAGAAAAGGATATCATTTGACGCGACGTATTCAAAGACAAATGTTCTAAGTTGAGTTTTGGTAAAAAGATAATCGGAAAATAAATAGCTCTAGTACAGATGATTTAGATCTCGTTTAAAAGCCCAGGAGTTACAGAAACAAGGGAACTAAAGTATATGCTAAGCTCTCTTTATTTTATACAGTTAACGCCACGTAATCATTAAAAAGCACCTCCTTTGAAGAACAGAAAGAAAACCATGCCTGGCAGATCATAACCTAGGCTCTATCGCGAGAATTGAAATGATTTCGTTCTCTTTAGATAGCGGAAATCTCAAATTACACACGAATATCTCTCACGGAATGCGTTTATTTGTGGACTTCAAATTGCTTGGAAAATGTCAATCAATTTAAAATCACATTCCGTTGACATGGGATACGAAAAGCCATCTTTGAATCTTGTTTATTTCTTGGAAAACTAAGATCGAAATTTAGTTCTTGTATGACTAAAAAAATTGCCCGATAAATTGGTATTATTTTACAAGGCGATATATGTATCCTTATGTAGCTAGCTTTTGTTCTTGGAAACGAAAGTGCCACTGGAACATTTTGAGACAAAGTTTGATGTGACTAGAAACACCTTTTGCAGAACAAAGTAATAGTATAGAATGTCATCCATTATGGACTTTCTTGAGATGTTGGATGTTATCTTTTATATTTTCCGTGCACACGGGAAAGCGAAAAGACATGATTGAACTTCTATTTATTTTTCCTTGAAAACTGCCATTTAACTTCCGTTTTTAAGGTTCCACAAAAGGTGGGCTGATTGAACCTGTTGCTTTTATTTTGCTACTCAGGAAAAGTTCAGTGGCAAATAATCAACAGTCAGGCTAAAACAGTTTCCAAGAATTAAAAAGCTAGGAAAAAAAGAAAATACCAACTTCAATAACTGGACAGTTGGTGGCTAGCATTGGTCTCTGTTGAGTGGATGTAAACTCCATGCAGCATTGGCTGATTACAAGTGTCCCAGTCACTTGAAAGAACGTTCCAAGTTCACGTCATCCACGTTGAATAGACAGACCTCTGCACCAAACACTGAAAGTGGACTTACCTTAAGCACTTCAACTTTAAAAACAGAAAAATTATCCACCAACAGGACGTTTGTTTATATATTATTGCCCGTGGATGCAAATTCAACTCAAATGGGCCACTTGAAAAACTGAACATTACCCAGATCAGGCAAACCATGACTCTGTTTTCAACAACAAAAGAAAAGGAAAGAAATGTTACGCAGAACCAAACGTCCTTGGTTTTTCCTTTTTTAAACAGTACATGCACAAAGTTCAGGAATGTAATAGCTAAAATTTTGTTATACGAAGGAACAGCTTAAATGATATCTGAACATCTTAGAACCTAGACGTCTCGAGCTCGCATTTACAACACTTTGAAGTCTCGGTCTCGCAATTGAAGAAGTCAAAATGTCTCGGAAACGCTCGTCTCGCCTTCTCGCAAAGTCTTGCATTTACCTTTCACCACTCCTAGTTTTCTACGTAGCCTGATATTATTACCTTACAATTCAATTAGACAACGATTTCCTGTAGCTTCGCCACAAAAGCTCAGTCTCACTCCTCATCGTGCCCCGCAAGACACCTAAGGCTATGCCACTAAAGCTAGAAAAAATTAACTCGTACAGAGCCTACTCACGGAACACGACTGACTGGCGATGACTAACCGACCACTGAGTGACGCTTAAAGTACTATTAAAGATTCAGGAACCAAGATCCCGGTCTGTAATTTGGGCACCTATCGGTTAGCAAGCGTGGTGCGCTGATAATCCCTTCCAAGATCCTCTCTATACAGAATAATAAACAACCGGGGTCTTCTGCTTCTTGAAGAGTCAAGCTGAAATAAGCCCTAAATATTTAAACCCGGAAGAAATGTCATGTTTTTCAGTCGTCTAAGGAGAAAGATTGAAAATTATAGCCTGAATTGACAAATCCTTTCCTGAATGTTTTAAAAAAATTTCGAACGTATAAAATAAGAATTGAGATAAGATTTCCATTGAATTGAACACAAAAGAGAACGTTGGCAGACTCCGTACTTTGTTTGATAACTCAGTATAAACCTACTAAACAGTAGTGTTTCTTCTTTATCTACTCGCAGATGGCTGGAAAAGATCTACAGACATCGCAATCAGCGCATAAAGAGGTTGTGAACCTTAAGACGATAATGCACGATATGCCAACAGACATGCGCCTGTTTTCACTTGCTATGAGATCGCTTTATGCCCAGAGTGCTGTCGGTTCCAATGCAGCAACAGCTCAAAAGTTCAGAAAACTCCGAGATGACACAAGAAACGACGCCATCGTATACCTCAAAGGTGTCCTCCCTCTGTCCACCAACTTTGTTGCATCCATAAGTGAGTACTTTGAGTACTATGAGAGCCTGGATTTCGAAGAGTGGTGTGAGATGCTGTCCGACATCCTCAAAGAGACCACTGCCTTCAGGGAACTGGCAGAGACACTCGTAAAGATGCATGAAGATATTCTGGTACCTCTTAAGAAAAGACAGGACGAAGCAAATGTTGTCCTCCGGGAGTTTGAAGACCTCCAACAGGAATTTGAAAAGAAGCAAAAAGAACTTGAAGAACGCGCTGCGACTAAGCGTGCCTGGGCGGTTGGGCTTTTTTTCATTCCTTATGTCAATGTGGTCGCAACCCCTTTGTTAGCAGCTTTAGCAGCTTCGGATACGGTAGAAGCAGTTGCTAAAGGTGCAGAATCCAAAATACAAGAAGCTGCCTCACTCACGGTCAGCAATACTCTAATCCCAGCTCTTGAATCCTTTATCAGTGGTCTCACTAAGGCAGCAGGATTTTTCTCCATAGTGGAGAATGAATTGAAGAAGTTTGAAGGCAAGGCCCACAAAGGCCTAGAGGATCCAAAGAAGCTACACTACACTATGATGAAGAAGGAAGCCAAAGAGATGAAATCGATCTGCCAAGGCTTCTATGCAATGCTGCCAGCGGTGAGGAGCGATTTTGAAGCCATTCCCACAGAGGGAACAGACCAGAACTACGTAGACAGGTGGCTGGAAGAACAGAAAAAGGTAATCAAGGAAAAAGTAAGTATCGCGAAGCTTGCACGAGATCTGCTGAAATCTATAGCTGGTCCTGCAGACCCTTCCACTGATGATCAGAAAGCCCTGCAGAACTGACCGAACGCAATGATGCACAACTGTGTTTAGTGTGTATTGCAACAGTTTTCTTTACATTCATAGCAGATGACCTCTTTATAACCGAATTTCTTAGCGTTGTGTGTGAATTTAGTTTGTCATGTGTTGATATATAAATCGCTGCTTTTATTTACCATAGATTTGCAACCAAATACGGATAGAAAGTTTTTTGTATAGGAATGTTTTCCTTTTATATAGTGTCTTAGAATCAGTTGTTTTGCTCACAAGTGACCTTCGTTTAGTAACACATTTTTGGCAATAAAATATTAAGTGCCTGTAGTTAGTTTTCAAGGCTGATATCATTTTATGATACGGATAAATACGAACGAACCTAGAATTGTACTTTAAAACTTTCTTTGCACATTGTTCCGGAAATTATTGTAGCTTTCAGTCGTTTCGGTTTATAGAGTTGAAATCGGCCTTTTTGGCCATGGCTTGAGTGTACTAATTAGTGTTCATTAGTTTTTTGGTTAGTTTTTCTTTTTATTTGACGTAAGCAATTGCTGTGGCTATAACAATGTCTCTATTCCACTGTATTTACCTTCAATAGCTATTGAGGTCGTTTTAAATTCATAATTCCGAGCTTTGATAAATAGAAATTACGTTTAAAAGCCAACAGCAGCTTATTAGCCAAAAATCAATCTGTTGCCTAAGGTATTGTTACGTTTAAGAAGCGTGCTTAAAATATTGTCATCGATTGTTCCATTATAGTTTCGAAGCTTTTGTATTCGTAAATCTGTTAGTAAAAATGGTCGAACTCAGTTTTGTAGAAGCGTTACTTTGGCAGCAGTTAATTTTGCTCTTGAATATGCATTTTCTGTCACATAAAATTTCAGTTATAACCGATAAGTTGTTTATATTGTCATAAACCGCTCGTATCCTCCTTAAGAATTTGTGAACTTTCCACTGAGTAGTTTTAATTGCTTAGGCTGTTTTAATCTAGAGTATTTTAGAATGTATTCTACCGGCCATAAAAACGAATATTTGTAACATTACAACTGAAGCTGTTGAGTTAAGTTGGAAATTTTATTTAAGTTGTATGCGCTGTCTTCATTTTTTTTTACCTAGTAATTGTTTTTCAGTCGCATCTATATGTTAGCGCATTTGTTGTACTCTATGAACAATGAACGCTGGTACGAATCGTACATAAGCAACCACGCTTGTAATGCTCTTTCGATAACGTTCACCGAGTGAATAAACTGCTGTTGGAACCAAAGCCGAGTTGGCGCTGTACATGATGTAGTTGCCTGTCCAGTTCGTGGTTACATCCCGGAATCCAAGAGCGTACGTAAAGGCCAGAACACACTCAGTAGGAGACAGCTGCGGGAATGTGAAGCGGGTGCAAGCCCCTTTGTGTGTATAAGTGGGACGCAAATTATAGGGACAGTGTGCAAGAGCAGTGCGCACGAGACTACATCGACAACTGTGGTCATTTTGTCCACGCTTCACGAAGCACAGGCCTTTTTGGCAAAAACGGGCATGTCACAAAACGGAAACTGTCGTTGCAGGATGTCTCCCCTTCATGTCCTTGCAGCATGTCCCTTAGTGTGTGCCGACCTTTAAACAACGGGTCTTCCTCACAAACGAGTTCCCCCATTTGAGTTTAATTTCCCCCGCGATGAGAGCTGCCGGATATCGTATCACGAAGAGTTCGCCCGTTCGGTTCGTTTACAAGGAAAAACTCCCTTTCAGGATAACATTTACCGTTCTATACTTAATATGCTTTTCGCATAAGGAAAGCCAGTTCGTGTCTAATTATATTGCGTTAGGCTTGCTGCCTATCGTGAGGAAATCAGAAAACCGAACCGTGCACATTAAATGCTATTAGGAGTAATTTGAGTATATTTTTCGGTGTTTCCCAGTGCATTCTTTTTTGATATGTGCCCCTCTGAAGCGTAAGATTTTTGGAGCTCTTTTTGGTTTCGCTGAAATTGGGTCATAACAGTTTCCCATTTTGGTCTAAAATCAGATACGATTTATGATGAACTAGACGCTCCAAGAGCATTTACTCGGGCTTCGTACCGCAGTATCATATCGTACTTTACGAAAACGCGTATTGGACACAATAAAAGCAAATTAAAGAATCATGATATTTTAGCACAAGAGTTCCGCTTAGGTATTTGCTATTCAAGTTGCTTCGTTGAGTATCCTCCTCATCCTATCGCGAGTTGTGATTTTAAACCATTTTGTGGGGGGGGGGGGGGGGGGG